TTAGTTTGTAAGAATTTTATTAGTATTTTTGCATCTATATTCATAAGGGAAATTTGTCTGTAATTATCTTTCTTTGTAGAGTCTCTATGTATTTGGGGTATCAGGATAGCTGTGGCCTTGTAAAATGAATCAGGCAATCTTCCTTCTGTTTCTATTTTGTGAAACAACTTGAACTGTGTTGGCATTAACTCTGAAATTCAGGTTGAGTTTTGTGCTAAAGACATTTGTCCCTGGGCTTTTTTTTTTTTTTTTTTTTTTTGGTTAGGAGACTTTTAATGACTGCTTCTATTTCACTAGGGGTTATAGGACAGTTTAAATTGCTTATTGATCTTGACTTAACTTTGGTAAGTGCTATGTGTCAAGAAAATTACTCATTTCTTTTAGATTTTCCAATGTATTGGAGTCCAGGATCTTAAAGGATAGCCTTATGATTCTATGGATTTCTACAGTGTCTGTTGTTATGTTCCCATTTCATCTGAAACTTCATTAATTTTGATATTCTTTTCCACCTTTTAGTTTATTTGGATAAAGGTTGGTCAATCGTATTAGTTTTCTCAAAGAATCTACTCTCTATTTCATTGATTCTTTGTATCTTTGTTTGTAATACATTGATTTCGTCCCTGAGATAAATTATTTCTTACTGTGCACTTCTTTTGGGTATGTTTTCCTCTTTTGTACTAGAGCTTTCATTTGTGCTGCTAAGTATGAGATCTCTTCTTCTTCTTCTTCTTTTTTTAATGTAGGCTGTTAGCACTGTGAACTTCCCTCTTAGAACTGTCTTCATTGTGTGGCATATCTTCAGGTATATTGTGTATATATTTTCATTCTATTTTAGAAAGTCTTTCATCTGAATTTCTGTCTTCATCCATTTTTCATTAATTAGTGAGTTGTTCAGTTTCCACGAATTTGTAAGTTTTCTGTTGTTGAAATCCAGCTCTAATTTGTAATGGGCAGATCAATGGTATTGCTTAAATTTTCTTAATTCTATGGTGACTTGCTTTATGTCCAAGTATGTTGTCAATTTCAGAGAAAGTTTAATGAGGTGATGAGAAGAAGGTATGTTTTGTTGTGTTTGGTTGACATGCTCTGTTCTAAATATCTGTTCAGTTCATTTGGTTTATAATGTCGATTAGCACCAGAATTTCTCTGTTCAGTTTTGTATCAGTGACCTGTCTGTTGGTATTGGAGTGAGGTATTGAAGTCTCCCACTGTCAGTGTGTGAGAGTCAATATTTGATTTAAGCTACAATAGTGTTTCTTTTATGAACTTTGGTGCTGGTGTCTGGTGTGTAGATGTTAAGAACTGTAATGTCCTCTTGAAGAATATTTCCTTTGATGAGTATATAGTATCCTCTCCTATTTCTTCTGATTAGTTTTGGTTTGGAGTCTATTTTGTCAGATATTAAAATGGCTGCACGAATGGTCAATTTGTTTGGAATATCTTTTTCCATCCTTTTATTCTCAGATAATGTCTACCTTTGATGTTGAGGTATGTTTCTTTGATGCAGCAGAAAGATGGATTCTGTTTTCCCATCCATTCTGTTAGTCTGTGTCATTTAATTGAGAAATTGAGACCATCGTTCTGAGAGATTTTAGTGAGCATTGTTTGTTGACTCTTGTTTTTGTTGTTGTTGTTGGTGTGTGTGTGTGTGTGTGTGTGTGTGTGTGTGTGTGTGTGTGTGTGTGTGTGTATTTTGCCTCTTGATTTTCTAGTTTGAGATTATTTATTCCTTATTTTTTCTTGGATGTGGTTAACATCTGTAGGATCATGTTTTCTCTCTAGCACTTTCTGTATGGCTGGATTAGTAGATAGATATTGCTTAAATTTGGTTTTATCACAGAATATCTTATTTTTTCCATCTATGGTGATTGAAAGTTTGGCTCGGTATAGAAGTCTGGGCTTGCATCTTGTTATATCTTAGCGTCTTCAGGACATCTACTCAGTCCCTTCTGCTTTTGAGAGTTTCCACTGAGAAGTCAGGTATAATTCTAATAGGTCTGTGTGGTGGTATTGTGTTCCCCAAAATATTGTGTACCTTAATAAACTTATCTGGGGTCAGAGAACAGAAAAGCCACAAGATGCTTAGGCTAGAAAATGTTAGCACACGCCTTTAATCCTAGCATTCTAGAGACAAAAATCCCTCTGGATCTCTGTGAGTTCAAGGCTGGATTGGAAACAGTCAGGCATGGTGACTCACGCCTTTAATCCCAGAAAGCAGCCTTTAATCCCAGGGAGTGGTGGTAGAAAGCAGAAAGGTTTATAAGGCGTGAGGACCAGAAACTAGAAGCATTTGCCTGGTTAAGCATTTGGCTGGTTAAGCATTCAGGCTTCTAGCAGCAGTTCAACTGAGAGCCATTGGGATGAGGACATAGAAGCTTCCAGTCTGAGGAAACAAGACCAGCTAGCTGAGAAGTTGGCCAGGTGAGGTTAGCTGTGGCTTATTCTGTCTCTCTGATCTTCCAGTGTTTAACCCAATACCTGGCTCAGGTTTGATTTTATTAATAAGAACTGTTAAGATTCCTGCTACAGGTCTGCTTTCATGTTACTTTGCAGCTTTTAATATTCTTTCTTTGTTCTGTACCATTAGTGTTCTGATTATTATGTACCAAGGGACTTTCTCTTCTGGTCAAGTGTATTTGGTGTTCCGTCCACTTCTTGTACTTTTACAGGCGTCTCCTTCTTCAGGGTAGGAACACTTTTTTGCGTGTGTAATTAAAAAATATTTCCTGTGTCTTGGGCCTGGGTTTCTTCTTCCTCAATTTCTGTTATTCTCAGAGTTGGTCTTTTCACAGTGTCCCAAATTTCCTGGATGTTTTGTTGCAGCATGTTTTCAGATTTAACTTTTTTTTTTTTTTCATATATCCATTTCTTCTATTGTGTCTCCACTGCTTGAGAGTCTCTCTTCCATCTTTTGCATTCTGGTGGTGTGGGTTGCTTTGAATTTCATGTTTGTGTGCCTAAATTTTTCAATTCCAGATTTCTCAGTTTGAATTTTTTTTATTGATTCAACTTCTCCTTTCAGATCTTGAACTGTTTTATTCATTTCATTCCACTGGTTGTGTTTTCATAGATTTCTCTTTAAGAGATTCATTCATTTCCTCGTAAGGACCTCTGTCATATTCACAGAGGTTATTTTAAGGACTTTGTCCTGTGCTTCAATTCTCAGGGCCTATAACACAGTAGGTTTGCTGGACTCTCATGGGACATGTGATTCTGGCTATTACTAAGTGTGTTAATATGCTATCATCTAGGCATTTGGGTTTGGGTAGATTGTAATTCTAGGTGCTAGTATCTGGTCTTGTCTTTGTTGGGTGAGTGTTTTGTTTCTTGGTTTCTGTTGCACTCTCTGATTCCTAGGAGTGTGTGGTGGCTACGTGTTTTCTGGTAAGGAATTTTTCTGTGATCCTGCCAGGGTTGGCTACTAAGGTTCCTGGATAAAATAAGTTTCTAGGTATTGAGGGCTGACATTTAGGAATGCAGATGGGCTGGGGGGAGGGGGTTGGGCAAGCAGTCATCAATTGGGAGGAAAGCAGGGTGTTCCACTGGGCTCTGATTATTCATTCCCCTAGGAATAGGGGTACAGAGTGAGGAGAGGCCATGCCAGGCAGTCTGCTACAGAGCTGAGTGTGAGCTTGGGTGCCTGGATTTGGATAGAGGGAAATTGAAGATGTGAAGCTCTCCTACCTTTTTGCCTGGCCTGCTTGCTTCTCTGGAAGAGTCATCTGGTGGGATCATAGGAAATGACTGTTGGAGTTGTGGGTGGGATAACAGTGTGAGTGGGGAGGATGGTTGGTGGAAAAGATCTACCTGACCCAGTGGATATGGTGATGGAGAGGAGGGGGAGCACAAGTGGTCTTCTACAGAGTTTGGGGTGATACTTGGGGATTGGATTTATAGGAAGAAGAGGTAGAAGTATGGCAGTTAGGCTGCCTGCTCGCCTGATTGGAGTGGCCTATAGGTGCATAGGGAATGCCTGTTGGAGTTAGTGTCTGGGATAAAATAATGAGTGGTGAGAAATAATTTTGGGGGGAATATCTGAGTGATTCACTGTAAATGGGGGATTGGGGTGGGAGACTGTAGCAGGTCCTCTGCTACAAAGAGGGAAATGAGATTGACAGATGGGATTTGGAGGAGAGGAGAGAGATGAAGATCTGCAGTTAGGCTCCCTGCTTCTCTGGACAAAGTCCACCTTATTTTAATTTAGTATAATGATATCAATGGTGAGTAGTGTGTTAAATGTGCATTGACATCAGCCGGAATCATGATTTATTGTCGATTAAACATTATCTATCTATCTATCTACTTACCTACCTACCTACCTATCATCATCATTTATCAGTCTAGATACATGTAGATATATATGCATTGAAACATATATTTTAGAGCAGAAAGACAGTTTAGTGTATTGATTACTTGGAAGAAATGACAAGAACATTTGTGTGCATATCAAATTCCAAGTTCTGCTAATGAATTGTCAAGCCCTGGTATTTCACGAGTTTTCAAGTATGAAGCACCTAGTTCCTGTGGCATTTGAAATTGTATTACATCATTGTGAAACTTCTTTTAAGCCATTTCAAAATGCTTTGACAAAGGATTAACAATCTTCCTTGCTTTTGTAAATATGTAATTATAAAAGATGTGTTGAAATATCAAGTTATAATAAGATTTGTAGATAATTTAATCTTGGCATATTTTCAAAAGGCCTTTTTGTTTACTTATCCCTCAACTTCATCTGTCTCAGGCAAATATGTTACAAATTTGACAAAAACATTTTAAGTGTCATTTCTTTATGTTGCTTCATTATTGAATATTAATAAGTGATTGGATTATATACTGTTTATACTTGGAACATTGCATAGTTTCTTTGTGTAACATATTTAGTAAAAGGTAGTTTAGAATATTATATCATTGAGTGCTAATAATACACAACAGAATTTTATTTAAGATGTGAGCTTACTCTGTTCATTATCTATGGGTTTATACCCGTGTCTCTCTTACAGCTGTTATTTCAAGAAACCAAGAAGGTCCAGGAGAAATGGGAAAGGCTGTGCTTATTCCAAAAGATGACCAAGAGAAAATGAAAGAGTTGTTTAAAATCAATCAATTTAACCTCATGGCCAGTGACTTGATTGCCCTTAACCGAAGTCTGCCAGATGTGAGATTAGAAGGGTAAGTCTGCATGTGCTAGAAAATCTTGTGTGCTATTAAACTTCATATTTCACAATTTCTGCTCTCACTATACGAATTTTATACCAACTTGGTTCTTTCTGCTTATGAAATGAATAACTGCATTTAGTTGAGAAATATGAAATGTTTTCTTCTCAGATAAAGCCAAATACATTACTTAGAAAGGCACTGAAGATGCCAAAGACTAATAAGTATTTATCTATAAAGTCATCTTTGTTTTACTCTATCATCCCCAATACCAAACAGGATATTTCATAAATTATTTGCATATAAACTTTCTGAGAATGCACCATAAACTTCATTTGGAAAAAATTATATGCCAGCACAAAATTAGCCAATTTATTGCATACTTCTTTGACTTTTAAACTGATTTACTGTTGAGCATGGTTCTAGCTGGTTGTAAAGCACTTGCCTAGTGTTATCAAGGCCCTTCATTTAATTCCCCATACCAAAATATTTATTATGAGGGTTAGCAATTTATACTGCTATTTTTAATTGCTTGTTCAGTTATCATCAATGGAAGATATATTCACTTACTCCTTGAAAAATTATGTTGAAAAATGCAACACTAACGTGATTGACTATAAGATGCTCTAGATAGCTAAACATATTTTAAATATAGGTTATAAAAATTAGAATGTTTAGTGGTAGTTTTATCACCCCTTAGTCTTTGTAAAACACTCTCAGCAATCAAAAATGATATGTTCTGAGATTTTAGAAAGTTGTGAAATTTCTAAATACAATGCAGATCACATTTCCATTTAAATAGACAGTATTTTAGCTACACAATGATATTCTTTATGTAAAAATATTTTAATGTAATATTTGTCACTAATAGCAGACTATTTGATCAATATATTGTGATAATAACAGTATTTTTACTGTTTGTGATTTTTTTCTTTTCTGAATTTGGTTTGAATAAAACCTAAACCTTATTAAAATTCTGAGGTTGGTGATTAGCACAAGATTCATTTGGTGAATAAGTGAATGTCTCCTCATATCACTATATTGTTCGAAAATGTCTCATTCAAGAAAGGAACAACTTTGGCATGGTACCATATCCTAGACGTCCATCATTTGGGAAGACAAACCAAGAGGATCTCAGGTTTGAAAACGGCCTGGATCTAGCCAGAAATTTCCAGGCGGACAAGGACACCATGAGGATACAGTGTTTCCAAATCACTATGGAGCAGGGAGAAAAGCACAAAGAGTCACGTGGCATGTACACTTTTGTGGCTCAGCAAATAGAACTTGGTTATTAAATGTATGTATAATAAATTTCTAAACATATTATATTTATTTCTGTGTACTGGCATTTGCTTATGTGTATTTAGATTTCACATTTTAAAGACATAAGTGAATTATTTTCAAAATGGTTTTGTTCATTTTAGATGCCATTTATTATTGGGTCTCAGTATTGGGTGCATTTATTTGCATATATATATATATATATATATATATATATATATATATATATATAATGGGTAAATGTCATGCTTCTGGATTTCAGAAAGCAATGAAATTGTTTCCAACTTTTAAAATAGTTACTTCTGGTGTCACAAATTTTATGACAGATCTATAAATAACGAGATAAGAGAGACATGTTTGTTGGTGAAAAGGAAAAGCCATAATGCAAACAACAGCAGCAAAGTCTACATTTAAGATATTTTTAAGCAATAAATACTTAATATCTAAACTGTGGAACAATTCAGCATGTATAAACAGAAAGTTTATATTATTTCTCAGAAAAGCACATAAAGTACCATATTTACATGGTTACTATTACGTGAAATCCTGAGAGTTAAAAAAATATTTAAGGAAATAATAGTGAAACACAAAGTTCAATTTTGATGTTTGCTTATCTCACACTGTGTATCATCAGTAACAGAGATGAGCTAGCCTCAGAACATCCTAGACAATTAAATTTGAATTCTTACCACAAGTCTAGTATCCAAACTTCTATCTAAAAGTTGAGAAATAACTCTATATTCATTTGATCTAGAACATTTATTTTAGATTTCATTAGTCAAAGTCCAATATTTTTCATTTTATTATTTTTTAAATATTTATTTGTTTGTTTATTCATTTATTTATTTTACAGCCCAGCCACAGTTTCCCCTCCCTCCTCTTCTCCCAATCCCTTCCCCTACCCTCACCCACTCTGCACCCCCATCCACTCCTCCTCCCTTTCTCTTCAGAAAAGGGCAGACCTCCTATGGATATCAACAAAACATGGCATATAAAGTTGCAGTAAGACTAAGCACCTCCACTTTTATTAAGGTTGGGCTAGGCAACCAATATAAGGAATAAGGTTCCAAAAGCCAGCAAAGGAGTCAAAGACAGCTCCTGCTCCCACTGCTCAGAGTCCCATAACCCTGAACTGTTGATCTCCTGTGACCAGGCAAGACTTCCAGTGGAAGGATTAAGACATCAACACAGTCATATAACCTTTGACCTACAGTCTGTCCTGCCTGTGGCATGTACTGGGGCAAGGGTGCCACAGAGATTGTGAGAGTAACCAACCAATGATTGGTCCAGCCTGAGACCCATGCCATAAGAGTGAGCCCACCTGTGACACTGCCTGGAGTGCTGGGACCCAGAGGCTGGATGGCTCAGAGAGCAAGTATAGAACCAAGCATGACCAGAGTGGTAGGAAATTGTTAATGTAATGATGTATAATGATATTCTGCTATACTCCTAGATTGATGCCTAGCCTGGTTGTCATCAGAGATGTTTCATGCAGCAACTAATGATAACAGATGCACAGACCCACAGCCAAACATTAGGCCAAGCTCAGGGAATCCTGCTGAAGAGAGGAAGAAGGATTGTAGGAGCCAGAGGGGTGAAGGACATCACAAGAAAATCCTCAGAAACAATTAACTGGGGCTCATAGGAGCTTACAGAGACTGAACAGCCAACCAGGGAGACTGCATGGGATGGACAAAATCCAATATTTATTTAATTGAATCATAATGGTGATATAGGGGCTGGGATATATTTTAGCAGTAGAATGCTTTCTTGGCATGCTTGAAGCTATAGATTCATTCTTTAGCTCTTCAAAAGTAAAGAATGGAGGACATAAGGAATGAATATGGATATTAGATTACCCACACTAATAATAAATTAATTAGTTAATTTATTATTAACTAATTAACATGGATGTTAAATGTTTAATCATGTACGTGCATAAAATTTATATATTAAATAATTTGCTGAAAGATCTTCACTTGTGTTTGTGAAGAACTTGAGTTACTACTTAGAAATGAAGAGCCCAATAAATTCATTCACATATCTATTCTATTACAAAAAACTGTTTAGAACAAATTGTCAACATTATCTTAAAAAAAAACAACTAACAATGTTTACCTTGAATGTCAGTCTAAAATATACTTACGATGAAGATTGTGGAGCTATCTCAGTCAATATAGTGCTTGCTTTAACAGCACAGCAACTAGATTTCCATCCCCAGGATCTGTCTAAAATGAACAGGAATGGCAGCATGTGTCTTCAATCCCAATACTGGGTAGGCAAGATAGACAAATTCCCCAGGGAAGAGGAAGGTGGATTCATGGGACTCATTAGGCTCACCAGCCTCTCCTAATTATAGAGACCCAAAGTCCTTGTGGGAGACCCTTTCTATTGATACTCATTAGAGATCTGCCTTTTCCTGAACAGAAACAGAGGGCAAGTGGATTGGAGATGAGAAGTAGGGGGCCATGGGGAAAGGCTGGGAGGAGAGAAGGGAGAGGAAACTGCAGCTGTAATGTAAAATAAACAAATAAAATTATTTTTTAAAAAAAGCAAGGTGGCATCCTGGGAAGAAATAACATCTGAGACAGACATCTGTCTCCAAACAGATGGGATCCATGTATCACATGCACACACAAGAGCAAACTTAACAAGCACCACACACATACACTTTAGAAGATGTGTTCATAGTGTAATTTCAAAAATATTCAGCTTTCAGAGAAGAAAGGATAAGTAAAATTATTCATGTGGAGGCAAACTTTATGAAACATGACACATTGGAACTAAATTCTCATTCAAGGGGATTTACATATTCATATTGTAGTAACTAATATATTTAATTTGTCAATAAATAACCCATATTTTTATATTATACTAAATTATTTTGAGATAAAAATAACTGTTATCACTAAAACCACAGTAATTATGTATTTTCAATGCAATATAATACTGTCTTCAGGACATCTATGAGATTCATCTCATAATTTATGTAAACATATAAATAAAATTCTCAACAGTTACACCCAGTCTGTTCTTTTTCCTTTAACTACACTGCATACACATACACACACACACACACACACACACACACACACACACACACACACACACACAAATGTAGCTGGAGATTTCTCCAGTCCTGCTGGGGCCCTCAGCCACTCAGACCCAGTAAACACACAGAGACTTATATTACTTATAAACTGTATGGCCATGGCAGGCTTCTTGCTATCTAGTTCTTATATCTTAAATTAATCCATTTCTATTAATCTATAAGTTGCCATGTGGCTCATGGCTTACCACTGCTTTACATCTCACTTCTCATGGTGGCAGCATCTGACAGCGTGTCCTCTCTGCTTATCCTGCCTATACTATACTTCCTGCCTGGCTATTGGCCAATCAGCATTTTATTTATCAATCAATAAAAGCAACACATTCACAGCATACAGAAAACATCCCCAGCATACATATTCATTTCAGAGAGAAATCCTAAAATTCTGACTTAGAATGTTGAAAATGGTTAAACTGACATGATAATTACTATTCATATTTCATATGTTTAGTAATTAAATGCTTCTGTATCAAGAGACTAAATAATTTCAAGTCATTTTGTTCACTTTTAATCTATTCTTTCTGTTAATATTTGGAGAAGTGGGATGAATAAAGAAACCTCTTGAGTGGTACTAAGTATGTTGTTTGGATCACCCGTTCCCTGGAATTACAACAAATGAGAGAAA